CGTGTCCAGGTGGCGCTTTAAGCTTAGGGTTTAGGGTTTAGGGTTTAGGGTTTAGGGTTTAGGGTTTAGGGTTTAGGGCTTAGGGTTTAGGGTTTAGGGTTTAGGGTTTAGGGTTTAGGCTCTAAGAACTCCTATTCTCAGGCTTTGGGGCCCTAAACCCTAGACCCTAAACTCAAATTCTCAGGCTTTTGGGCCCACAGACCATAATCATACCATATAAGGCTTTTTGGGCTATTTTGAGCCTTAGGGTTTGGGATGATTGCGACGGCTCAGGATGTCTGGAGGTTTGGGCTTCATGGGGTGTCATTATATAGAGCCAAAACCCTAAGCCCAAGTCCTCTCAACTTTAAAGAACACTCCAAGCCCCCAACAAAGCCCTAAACGAAACATCTAAGGGACAGTAGGCGGGACCCGTAGAAGGGACCCCTAATCCAAATACCCTATATAACCCTTATATACACCTGTTTGGGGTGCGAAAGTCATTAGGTACTGCTTCTCTCCTCCATGCGTGGCTGGCAGAGCCAGCCGAATGTGTTCAGCTTCAGTGCCGCCCTCAGCGCCTGTGAGAAGGCTGGAGAGTGGAGATTGGCTCTCAAAATCCTAGAAGACACCAGGTGGCACTGGTTCGATATTTTTTATGGGTGTGGGGATTTGATGATGCAATCGCAAAAGGGACTACTGGTAGGGGATCTTGCTGGAAACCTCAGGGTTAGCGGATGAGAGTTCACGCAGGAAATGCCAGAGAGCCGTGTGGCACCAAACACGATCACCTACAACGCCCTCCTTTCTGCCATCGAGAAGTCCGGACAGTGGCAGTTGGCCTTCCAGCTTCTCCTTGAGATTCCGGAGGCGAATGCGTCTTGGTATAGTCAGAATAGGGTTTGGGGTATAGTATACTATAATTATGATAAGGAGCCCCCCAAACCCTGTTCTAATTATTCAGGCCAACCCTAAACCCTAAACCCTAAACCCCAGCACCTTAAACCCTCAACCGTGTGCCCTGAACCTTACACTTGAAATTCTCCCCTACATATAGTGTTGGAAGGCATTGCTGGTACTCTATAGCACCTCTAACCCTCAACCCTAAATAAGCCTCAGCACAGTTTTAAAGGGAGTCCTATGTCACCGCAGGCGAGTTCTTGAACCCGACTCCTCCTACACTTAACCATTCCGTGAGCCCGATGCTGCACTGTCAAGTCCTCAGGAGCCAACAGTTAGGCACTTGGGGTGACGACTGTAATGCAGGTGAGTCTTTGTGGGGGAGTACACTCATGACTGTTATAGATTAGGTAATCGGACTCTACATCTCTAGATTCAATCCCGAGGCCCTACACTCCAAGTCCAAAGCCGCAGGCCTCGTCGAGTATTTAACCTTGAGGCATCATCACGATGCTTAACCTATGCCACCTCACTCCGTCGCTGAACCCCTAAGGCCCTCGACCTACCTGGTGAAGCCAGCATAAACCAAAGCATGCTTGTTTATCCTACCCGAGAAGAACGTTCAAAGCCGATAGAACATCTGAAATGGAATCGTACCCTAAACCCTAAACCGTAAAACGGATCGTTAGAGCCCATTGAAGCTGCATCGAAGCCACAGAAGCAAGGTTGTAAACGGCAAGACACGCCTGGACAGCAAAACGGGCATAATGCTTTAGGGTTTAGAGTTTAGGGTTTAGGGTTTAGGGTCGAGCCACAACCGAACAATTCAAAGACAAAAAGGTTCGAGGGAAGTCCAAACCCCGGAAAAGCCCGAAGAAAGCCAAGGCCATCAGCTTCACAGCCGCTTTAGCCGCCTGCAAAGCTCAGAGTGCCTGGGAGTCGCTCGGATGCCTTTAGGGCTTAGGGTTTAGGGTTTAGGTTATAGGTTATAGGGTTTAGGGTCTAGGGGTTTAGGGTTTAGGGTTTAGGGGGTTTGGGTTTAGGGTTTAGGTTTTAGGGGGTTTGGGTTTAGGGTTTAGGTTTTAGGGGGTTAGGGTTTAGGGTTTAGGGGGTTTGGGTTTCGGGTTTGTGTTTGATTGTCTCGGCTTTTTCTGGTTGATGCCACAACGCCACAGCCGAAATCCTGAACCCTGGACACTATAAATTGCCACCCCCCCCCCCCCAACTACCCTCTAACATACAGACAAACCCTAAACCCTAAACCCTAAACCCCTAAACCCTACACCCTAAACCCTAAACCGTATAGTAACCCTCCATGACTACAGATAAGACCCCACATGCGACCCCGTAAGGATCAGAGTCCGCACCTCGAGCACCGTAGGTCCCGCAATCTCCCGCAATGCATCGCACATTCCCTAAACCCGAAAATAGAAGCCTCAACAATTAGCAATACTACCCCTTAGGGTTATATCCTCGCGACTCCGTCAAAACCAGTGAGGCCCTTACACTACATCATCTAATTAAACTCTTTCGTCACCTTGTAGAAGCCTGATGCTACTCAAACCTTTAGTCACCCTAAACCCTAAACCCTGAACCCTAAACTCTCATTCCTAAACCCTAAACCCTGAACCCTAAACTCTCAACCCTAAACCCTAAACCCTGAACCCTAAACCCTCAACCCTAAACCCTAAACCCTGAACCCTAAACCCTCAACCCTTTAGTTCCCCTGATTATGGAAACGCTTGGACCCTTCAAAGGAAACCTTAAGGTCTGCCCTCGCGCTGCTGTCAACTCGAATGCCTGATGCCAGGATTGCTCCCAGCGCCTGGGACCGGACTTTTAGGGTTTAGGGCTTTAGGGTTTGGAGTTCAGTGTGTTTGGGGTTTAAGGTTTGGGTTTAGGGTTTAAGGATTAGGGTTTAGGGTTCAGGGGTTTAGGGGTTGGGGTTACGTAAACCAAGGGTTTCGAGTTTAGGGGAAGAAACATCACTAGGCATATGCACTTGAAGCCTAAACCCTTGCAGTACGCACAAACCCTGATGGCCCTTTTAATAGCACTTATTAAGGTATACTTATAAGGGCGCAGGGTCTTAAGTTTGTTTGTGTTGCTGTTTGTCGGCTTTGGGCTTATAGGCCTTTGTGTAGTCGGGTTAGCGCTTCTCGGCTGTTGAGGCTTCTGGGCTTCAGGCCGGTAGAATATCGAAGCCTAAATAATTACTTAAATTATTCCTTAGGGTTCTTTGTTATGACCATAGTCCATAGTTTAATGGGCTTATGATTATCGTATATTGGGCCCCAAAACCCTAGTCTAATTATTAGAAGGCCCCTACAGTAGGGTTTAGGGTTTGGAGTCTGGGAATTTGTGTCCATATCTCCAGAGTCCACTGAAGATGCCGCCGAGTTTCAACGTGGCCTTCTCTGTATGTTCAGGACGGCTTTACATGAGTCTGCCCTAAAGAACCACAATGACTTAGTTCCCCAATACCCAACCTTGAAACTTTCTCGGTTCTCTTGTTTTTGTAGAAATCTGAAACTTTAACGTTTTATTTCCTGGGCTTGTCGGGGAAGTAAGATGAAGATCGGTATTCCAAGAGAACTTCTTTGTTCACGACGACCTTCCACCCCAAGCGGCCCAAGCCCCGAAATGCCTGAACTGCCCCCTTGGAGGTGGTTTAAGCTACGCCGCCTGAATCCTAAACCCTAAACCCAAAGCCCTAGGCAGAACCCTAAACCCTAAACCGCCCCCTTTAAGCTACGCCGCCAGAATCCTAAACCTTAAACCCAAAGCCCTAGACAGAACCCTAAACCCTAAACCGCCCCCTTTAAGCTACGCCGCCAGAATCCTAAACCCTAAACCCAAAGCCCTAGACAGAACCCCAAGCCCTAAACCGCCCCATTGGAGGTGTTTTAAGCTACGCCGCCGTGGAGGCGTGTTGTGAGGACAGCGACTGCCTTCGCCCAGTCGCCGAGCTGCTGTCAGAGGTCCGAGCGACAGCTGCTGAGACGCTTTTCCGGGCCTGGTCCTAGCCTTGCACGCTTTAGGGTTTAGGGTTTTTAGGGTTTAGGGCTTAGGGTTTAGGGTTTAGGGTTTTCAGGGCTTTTAGGGTTTAAGGTTTAGGGCCTGATCTCGGGGGGCCTTGCCAACAGTTTAGTATGATGCTATGGACCACGAGGGATACTGCTACCTACTGTTCCCACCCCGATATTCTAGCGTTTGGCGTGAGTTTTCGGCTGAGGGTTCAGAATCCCTCTTAGGATCAGGGTTTATAGGGCTTGAAGCTCTAAGCACTAGAAGCCCTAAACCTTAAACCCCAAAGCCCTAGGCTAGAAGTAAGTTCAGGCCAAAACGGAACACTGTACAGCAGGACGCGCTTTTGAGAGCCACATGTTTGCAGGGATGTGTAGAGCTCAGTGGTAAGGTTTCGAGTTATAGGGTTTAGAGCAACGGATACTTTAAATGGGAGGGGCTAGAGCAAGACCTGCCAAAGAAGCAGTATGCTTCGCCAGATAAGTTGCGGTTTCAGGGTTCTTGAGTGCACATGTCCGAATTCGCGAACAGCTCGAGGAGCTTGCGGACGTCGAAATGCCTGTGAGGGAAGAACCAGGGCACTTGCAGCATAAGGCGAGCTTACTCGGACATCACAGGTAACACAGAAGTAGGCCTACGGCTGTGTACGGAAAAACGTAGTCTGGCGTAGTTGGAGCCCGGCATGTAATCTAGGTAACAATTACTCGAATATCATGAAGCCCCTTGACCCAAGTCGACACAACCCTAAACCCTAAACCCTAGACAGAAACCTTAAGCCCCAGACAGAGCCCTAAACCCTAAACCCTAAGCACTAGACAGAACCCCAAACCTTAAGCCCCTAAACCCTAAGCCTTAGACAGAAGCCTAAACCCAAAGCCCTAGACAGAACCCTAAACCTGAAATCGACCCGCCCAACGGCAATCACCGAATCCGAACATGACGGTCCTCCGCTTTCGTCAAACCCTAAGAGCCCTGAGGCTCTAAGGACTCATCTGTTACGGCTTTTGGGTCCAAAGACCATACTATAGAAGGCTTTTGGGCCATTTTGAGACATTTTATGTAAGGCTTTTGGGCGCCCAAAGACCATGCTATGTTAGGCTGTTGGGCCATTTTGAGCCTCAGGGTAAGGGCCCTTCACTCGGCCAAGCTATGAAGAAGACCGGATAAGACCTGCACTCCACATGATAGCAAAGGAAAAATATGGGGGCCTCAATAATTACCTACTATACTTTTTTTGGGGGGTTCCTTTTTTCTAATTATTGACACTTCCCTGAATCATAACCCTAGGGCTCAAAATAGCCCAAACGCCTTATATAGTATGGTCTTTGGGCCCAAAAGCCTTAGAAAATGAGTTCTTAGAGCCTAAGGGTAAAGGAATAGACCTAGACCCCCCAACTACCCTCCACTATACCATAAAATATGCAGAATTACGGACCATAAGGGGTCTATGAACGGGGCTTTGGTGGGTCCTGGAATAGGGAGGGATCGGATCCTAGATAGGATTCACGCTATGGCCCGCATTTTCACCTGGAGCTTTCGTGACTCTAGTCGCTCCACTCTCTAGTACTGCCCAAGCATAAACGATCCCCTAAACCCTAAACCCTAAACCCTAAACCCTAAACCCTAAACCAAAAACCCCCTGAACGCAAAGCTGCAGAAAACCCAAACAGAAGCCATCAAGCCTAAACCCTACGGTTTAGGGTTTAGGGTTTAGGGTTTAGGGTTTAGGGTTTAGGGTTTAGGGTTAAGGGCCCTAAAAGCCCAACAGAATCCAAGAGGCCTTTTAAGAAGTTGGCCCCGCGGCGAAACCCAGCCTGCGACATCAAGTTTAGACCCTTCCTTCATCTTGACAGAGTCTTTGACGGGGGTTTTAGGGTCTAGGGTCTACCCATAGTCTCAATTGTAGTTCTTTTTGGGGGATACCTTATAAAATCCTTAATATACAATTGGTTAAACCAAAGAAAGGAACTACAATGGAGACTATAGGTAGGCTTTAGGGTTTTAAGCCTTAGGGGTATAGGGTTTAGGGTTTGGGGGTTTATGGAGTGAGGGGTTTAGGGTTCAGGGTTTCGGTTTTGTCGGTCTGGGCTTCCGAGTTTGGGGGCTGCTTGGGTTTCGTAAGGTTCCGGAGTCAGAGTGTCGAGGCCCTCTGTTAAGAGTTTAGGGTTTAGGGTTTAGGGTCGAGAGTTTAGGGTTTAGGGTGTTGAGTCTAGGGTTTAGGGTTTAGAGTCCAGGGTTTAGGGTTTAGGGAATTATTATTATTATGTAGGTAAGTGTCCCGTTTAACAGTACATGGAACCTTTTGGGTAAACCGTCTTCATGCTCACCCTCCACCCCGGCACCCCGACGTGAAGAGTAGGGCGTCGGGCCCCTAAGACTTATACCTTGTAGCAAGAACGAAATGTTAAATCGAATAGACAGCAAGAACAGCAATGGCTATTAAGGAATACCCGCCCTACCAACAATCGTGCTAAGCATAAGATAACCGTAACAATAATGCTAATCCCTAAACCCTAAGCCCTAAACCCTAAACCCTAAGCCCTAAACCCTAAATCACTAGTAGCAACAAAAAATGACGCTCCTAACCCTGGCAAAAATGACGTGCTCCGCGAGCTACCCTTGAGCTCAAGATGCCTGCCAGTACGGGCTTTTTGGGTTTAGGGTTTAGGGCTTAGGGTTTCGGGTTTAGGGTTTAGGGTTTAGGGTTTAGGGTTTCGGGCTTCAGGTTTAGGGTTTCAGGGTTTAGGGTTTAGGGTTTCGAGCTTCGGGTTTAGAGTTTCGAGTTTCGGGTGGTGCTGCCATGGAAGCCGCTGCTCTATCTCTCAGAGCTGCCTGTGACCAGAAGGACTGGAAGGTTGCCGTCCAACTCCTGGAGGACTCACTCCGGCTGATGATATAAACCCTGCATTACCCAAAATAAGGAAGAGGCTTTTGGGGTTCCGTATAAGGGTTCCTTAGAGGGCTCTATAAGGGCTACTATAAGGGTTTAGGGTTTTAGGGGCCTTGATGATATAAAACCTGCATTACCCATAACAAGGAATATACCATAATTCCCATAGTTTAGGGTCTTCAGGTAATGCAGGATTTATTTCTTCAACAGTATGGTTACGATGGCCCCCTTATTAACATGGGTCCGAAAAAACGTATAACCACAGCAGTTTAAATTATTGCGGACGGATTCTTGATGTTTGTCCTTCATACGTTCAGACCCCCTTCAAAATATTTGCTTTTCAGTTACCATGTGAGTTTCAGTCACACCGTTACAAACAGTTACCCGTAGCATCAAAACAGCCCAAAAAAGCCTGTTATAATAGGGTCTTTGGGCTTAACAGCCTTAAAATACGAGTCCTTTGAGGGTTAGGGTTAAGGGCCTTAGGCTTTGGGCATTAGAGGTTTGGGGCGACTTCTAATTTGACTTTGGGGGATGCTGTTTAGGGTTTACACGGTTTCGGCTAAAGTTGAGGCTTTGGGCTTTGGGGGTGTTCTTAAAGCCGAGCATCGTAAGAAGCTGACCACAAAAGGAGGGGGCCAAGTCGCGCCTTGAAGGTAACACCCGAATGAAACCTGTATCTTAGGAACCCAAAAAGGACATAAGCGTTTAAGTTTAAGTTTAAAGTTTGGGGTTTAGGGGTTTAGGGTTTACGGGTTTAGGTTTTAGGGGTCAAGACCATGTACAGCCCTGAACTAATTGGCGCTCTGAAATACCCTGAACCCTAAACCCTTCATATAGTGGCCTAAATAATTTCAAACACTATTTTGTGGGTTCCTTATTATACTTATAGCATAATGGGCCCCAAAGCCTTATTCTGATTATTAAGGCCCCTACCCCTAAACCCTAAGCCCATAGCTTGAATCTAGTCAGGACCTACCTCCACCGGGAAATCCGAGGCTGGAACGGGGAGTCATCGACTGCTGCGCGAGGGCACGGCAGTGGCAGATGGCCCTTCAGGTCTTGTTGCTTGGTTGTTACCCTTGGCTATTTTGAGCCTTACGGTCATGTGGCTTGCAGTCTTTAGGGTTTAATGAAAGGACAAAGGACGGTTTTCGTCGTAAGGTTGAGCATTTGGGTCCAGATGGCAGCGGCTAAGTGTTTCTTCCTAGGCGTTTTTGTGTCTAGGGCGCTAGAAGTTTAGGGTCTAGCACCTACGGTTTAGGAATCCGAGTTTGAGATTTATAGGGTCTGTGTCCTACATCGACAAGCTGTACCAGCAAGGCTTGGAATCTTCGCAGCGAATTCGGTGCCAAATGTTTTTAGCTTCAGTTCTGCCATCACGGCATGTGAGAAGGGCTCGCAGTGGCAGTTCTCACTGCAGCTCTTATCCATGATGACATCGGTCAGCACTGCGCCGAACGTAGTCAGCTTTAATGCGGCCATCACTGCTTGCGGCAAGAGTGAGGAATGGCCAAGAGCCTTGTCTTTGTTGGCGCAGATGCCTGCTGCAGGAGTTGAACCGGACCGGATCAGCATCAATGCAAGCATCAGTGCCTGTGAGAAGTCCAGCCAATGGGAAATTGCAGTGTGGTTACTGCAGCAGATGACTGAGGATCGACTCAGGCCCGGCCATACCACCTTTAATTCCACCATCAGCGCCTGTGAAAAAGCTGGCAAGTGGCAGATGGCATTGTCTATTTTCTCGCAGATGCAGAGCAAAACGATGCAGCCTGACCAGGTCTCTTTCAATGCCACCATCAGCGCTTGCGAGAAAGGTGGGGAGTGGCAGATATCTCTAGGACTCTTCTCGGAGCTGATCCTATATGGCCTGCAGCCCGACCACATCACGCTGAATGCCCTCTTGAGCGCATGTGAGAAGGGATACAAATGGCAGATGGCTTTGCTCTTGCTTCAGCAGATGCCTGGATTCGGGTTGGACCCCGACCACATCAGCTTCCTAGATAGCCAGTGGGAGAACTGTAAACTCTTTGTCCTTATATTTTTAGTTTACGATAGAAAGTTTAAACTTTTTTGGGGTTCGTTATTGAAGAAGAGAGGCTTCAGTGCTGGCATAAGTGCATGTGAGAAGGGCTGTGCCTGGCAGATGGCCCTGCATTTGCTCTCTGAGTTGCCCTCAGCCGGACTGCAGCCGGACGTGATCACTTGCAATGCCACCATCAGCGCTTGTGAGAAACTTAGTTTGCCAATAGGAGAACTTTAAGCTTTTTGGCTTTATATATTAGGTCTATCCTAAAAAGTTTGAACTTTTTTGGGCCTGGTTGTTGAAGAAGAGAGGAAAGCCGGTGAGTGGCAGATGGCTTTGCAGCCGTTTTCGGAGATGCCGGCGGTGCGTTGTGCACCCAACCAGATCAGCTTTAATGCTAGCATCAGTGCATGTGAAAAAGGGAGTGAGTGGCCCATGGCTTTAGTCGTTTTCTCTGGACTGTCGGTGGGTGGAGTTGAACCTTCCCAAAGAAGCTAGGTTGGCTTTTGGGACATTTTTCATTGTCCTTATTTGGGTTTATAAGGGTTTAGGGTTTAGGGTTTCTAAGGGGGCCCTTTATATAAATATGTTTCAGAGGGTTTAAAGGCCAACCCAGGAAGCTTCAATGCCAGCATCAGCGCCTTGGAGAACAACGGCGAGTGGCAGAAGGCCGTGCAGATCTTGTCTGAAATGCCTCTAGCGAACCAGATAAGCTTCAACGCCGGCATCAGTGCATGTGAGAGAGCCTGTGAAAGAAAGGCCGCCATGTAATGTAGGGGCCTTAACAATTCATTCGAGTAGGGTTGGGGGGGGTATATGATATTATACTATGGTCACAATAAGGACCCCCCAAAACCCCATTCTAGTGATTGAGGCCCTGCCATGTAGAATGCATCGGCCCAGAAGGATCTCCAACAGGAGCTCCTTCAGGGTCTGACCCCAAAGGGTCCAAAGTAGCTATATCGCAGAATGTAGGGCTTCTGCCTTGGGAATGACCCTAAACCCTAAACCCTAAACCCTAAACCCTAAAGACTATTACGACTTGGGGAAGTATCCCCCCATAACCGATAATGTGCCAGAGAGCAGTCTCCTGAGCTCGAAATATGCAATTACACTCGGGTCCTGAGTAGTACCATTTTGGCCCTTTTTGTTGTATGGCTCCCTTATTAATTAAGATTGAATAACGGCAAGAAGGGTACTCTTATTATTAAGGGGTCACCCAGGAACCTAGTACACCAAACTGCCAAAGACCGAAAACGCTAAACAATGCAGGTTCTACGCATTCTAAGCCCCTGCAACCCCCTAAACCCCCCTAAAACCGCGACATAGCCGTTACGACGTCTGAAGTTGTAAAGGTCTCCGGGATCCTTCTAAAGTCCTGTTAACATCCTGATATGCCGTAGGTCGTTTACTACCTGGACCCTTCCCCAAAGGCTCCTATATCCTATATATATATATATATATATGATAGAATGTCGGGCTTCCATACTGAGTTGCTATGGTGGTTGAGGGAAGTATCCGCTAGAAGAGTGCTTTTGAAAGTCGAGGCCTCGCAAGGGCATGACAAAGCCGACCCGGGCCCCAACCAGCTAGGGTTTCGGGTTTAGGGTTTAGGGTTTAGGGTTTCGGGTTTAGGGTTTAGGGTTTAGGGTTTCGGGTTTAGGGTTTAGGGTTTAGGGTTTCGGGTTTTGGGTTTAGGGCCCCAGCCAGCTAATTTAATCCACAAGGCACAGGAGCCCCCAAACCCGGGACCACGCGAGCACCCCACGGTCCAAAAAACGTGAGCCAAAACGCGTCAACTTCACAGCCCCAAAGCCCCAAAGCCCCAAACCCTAAGCCCCAAACCCAAAGCCCTAGACCCTAAAACCCAAGCCCAAAACCCTCAACCCTGAACCCCCTAAGCCCCCCAAAGCCCCAAGCCCTAAACCCCCAAACCAACCCTAAAGTCCCCGGTTGAAGCATATGGCATCAACGTATCTCCCGAGTGAATGACCCCTTCCCGGTTGCAAAAGGGATCTCTCATGTTCTGTGGCCCTTCAAGAGAAATGGTGCATCTACAGTCAGTTCTGGGCAGTTACTATTATTTTCAGTTGATGCACATGGTTACTCTGGGTCTGCGCGCTAAATCATGCCCTAAATGTAAGTTTAAAATGCAAGACCTGAAACCTAGGCCCTGAAGCCTGTGATGTCTTATCAAAACCGCTCGAAAGACCACAAGAGCCTTTTGACTGGAATGGGACCCTTAAGTTGAAAACCTCCTAAACCCTAAATTCTAAGCCCTAAATCCGAAACCCTAAACCCGAAACCCCAACACCCTCAGCCTTAGAAGCACTGAAACCCTACGACTGGCCTATGTAAAACCCTATAAGACCCTTATGAGACCAAGGCCTTAGGTGCTTTGGGCCGCGCAGCGGCCTGGGCCGAGGCCGGTCTGAGAAAGGTGGTCGGGCTTGAGGTTTGAGGGTTTAGGGTTTAGGCTTGAGGGTTTAGGTCTTCAGTTGAGGGCTTACCCTTAGGAGCCCAACAGGTAAACTTTAAGCTTTTGTGGTCTATTAAACTCCCACTAAAAGAAAAGTTTAAACTTTTTCGGGCCAGGGTACTGGGAAGCTACGTACCTTACCCCCAAGTTTTTTTTTATTTTATTAAGGACTACTTATAAAGAAATCAAACTCAGGAGGGCAGAGGGTTCGGGGCTGTCTGGGCTGGTCTAGAAAGTCGTAGCCGGAGCCCTTCGTGTCTGAAGAAACTCAGAGTTCTAAGTAGGGCTTAGGGTTGTTTAGGGTTGTTTAGGGTTTAGGGGTTTAAAGTTTAAGGTTTAGGGTTTGGGTTTAGGGTTTAGGGGTTTAGGGTTTACGGTTTAGGGGTTTAGGGTTGTTTAGGGTTTAGGGGTTTAGGGTTTAGGGTTTAGGGCTGTTTGGGGTTTAGGTTTGAGGGTCTAGGGTTGTGTAGGGTTTAGGGGTTTAGGGTTGTGTAGGATCTATAGGGTTTAGGGGTTTAGGGGTTAGGG